GCTTGTGCAATGTAATTTGTAATTAAGTTCCAGAGAATTATAATAAAGATATAGCTAGCATTTGACAAAGGACAGCTTTCAGAATCTCTCCCAGTTCAGTGCTGCATACGTCTAAAAACTCCTGAAATAAGCAGCTTCAACCATAATAGAAGAAGCTGTGGATTATGAGCCACAACTTAAAAGTATGTTTATTTGTTAAAATTGATCTATTACATACATACTTTCCAGCGTTAACGTTAGCACAAAACAGAAGGTTAGTGTTAGCTTAAACAATGGGAAATGCTGTTTGGCACCGTAACAATTTAGCTACAAAATCATTTTTAGCAATCAAACCCCTGTAAACGCCCACAATCTTCGCTGTAGTGTCTTTTTATGCTGTCGCTTTCCCTGCCCTCTACATCTCAAATAACAAACTTGCAAAAGATTTGTGAATGTTTCATATTACTTACATATGCCTATTCCAAATATATGTGAAAGACACTTGTCAGATTTTATTTTAGAGAGCAGGCGTGAGGTTTTGTGTCCTCTGTGTCATTTTCTGTCTTATTCAGGCACAAACTGATATGGCCAACAGCTACTCTGACTGACAGCATTTACACAGTGCAAAAGCACGTGCTTGTAGGGGCATGCCACTTTTCCGGTTGACGTAGAGCCAATCCACAGCACATTATGCTAGCTGACGAATCAGAGCCTCTTGAGGACGGGCCTTTCAGAGGAACAAGTCTAGGAAATGTGATAGTCGTTTTCAGCTTAGCTGAGTAGCAGTATATAATCAAAGTAAGATATCTGAAAAAATAACACAATTTTTTTTTACATATGAAGCATGAGCACATTGCTTTGCATCTTATGAACACAACCAAGCCTCAAAAATAAATTTTCTACCACCCCTTGAAGGTTTGGAGGTTGCTTTGAATTACCTATAAATCTAAATAATGTACAGCTAAAATTACAAATCTACATTCATACAAATAACTTCATGATATTTTACTTTTGTATATACATATTAAATGTTTCATTAAGTCCAAACTATAAATTTCAGTACCAGTCAAAAAGTACAAAAAAACTCCTCTTGCAGCTGCCTGAGTATAAACAATAAAACCAAGCTGTCAGTTTACAATTCTCTTATAGAACTGTAATAAATCGTATGGTGTTAAACTGTGATTAAATAAAGCGACACTTTTATGGAGCTGTGCAACAGTCAGTGGAAGCTCACTTTATGCAGGTCTTTATAGCATACTTTCACAGCATGACACTGCTACAGCTGTATAGATATAGACTCTACATAATAAAGAGCTTTGTGTTTTGGGTCTGTGCGCTGGGTTTCTCTTTCATTTTATGGCATTCCCTCTGGTCACCCTTTATCATTTATACTGCAAATTAAAGACAAGAAAGAACATTTGTTGTTTTAATCGAGTTCATACAAGTAGAGCTGGAATGTGAGTCCAGACGGGACAACGAAGAAACAGTAATGTAAACGTCCTTGTGTTGTAGAAGCCTGTTAATCAAAGGAATACTTTGAAAATAGACTCATTTAACAAGTCACATAGCGTTAAACAGTTGAGTTTTCAGTCTAAAGACCATCTAAAAAAATTTATGCAATTTTCCTATTTTAAACTTAACTCTTCTGTAGTGTGCCATTCCATTGACTTCAGAAGGCACAATAATATTATGCAGCACTGTCGGCTGCAGAATATTTTCAAGAACTACATAATATTATTGCTTCTAATTGTACATCGTCACTGGTGGGACACTAAGGCTGCGTCCGAAACCGCATACTTCCACACTATATAGTATGCTAAAATCAGTATGTGAGCCGAGTAGTATGTCCGAATTCATAGAATTCGAAAAACAGTATGCGAGAAGTACCCGGATGACTTACTACTTCCGGCTAAATTCTGAAGTGCACATCCCATGCATGCTGCGCTATCCCATGATGTCCCGCGAGCGAATTTATGAATGGGAGTGAAGCAACGCAAGTTACGCAGGTACGTCACATGACTATGTCAAAATGGCTGATGTAGTACATCTGAATTCCATTCATACTTTTTACATTCAAACTGTATAGAATGTACTTTTCTAACGGCCAAGTAGTACGTTTAAATTCAAATGCAGTACCTACTGAGTAGTAGGCGGTTTCGGACACAGCCAAAGACTACTTGTGTGATATTGCTCATATATACATATATATATATATATATATATATATATATATATATATATATATATATATATATATATATATATATATATATATATATTATATGTGTGTGTGTGTGTGTGTGTGTGTGTGTGTGTGTGTGTGTGTGTGTGTGTGTGTGTGTGTGTGTGTGTGTGTGTGTGTGTGTGTGTGTGTGTGTGTGAGAGGAAAAAAAAAATATTGCTTTTTGGTAACACCATGATTTTAGTAGGAAAAATTGACACATATTAGGCAGGATTTAGCACCAATTAGCTGCCTCCATTAGATTCTTTCAATGCAATCCTCTGATCTAAAGCCAGAAGACTAGGATTACAGTAGCTTTTCCTCTCTATTGTATTATAAAGTGAGCATGCACTCCATTAGAAAGCCATTGTCATCCACTGGTGGTAGCATTGTTTCTTTTTGAGGTCATTTAAAAGGCCTTGGGGTCTTTCAGATCCCTAACACGAGAACACAAGTTAAAGCTTTAAAGTTGACATGGCAGAACTGCAACAAACCAAACTGAGCAATAAAACAAAGAGAGTTTAAAAAAACACTTGCACTGCATGACTGCCCTGTGTGCAGCTCCACATGAAGCTGTAACAATTGATGAACACAACACAAGGCAAAAGCCGGTCTGCAGAAGTGCACACATTTTTTCGCAACCAGTAAGATTAGCAGATCAAGTGAAGCAGGATCCAAGCGGCTTGGAGCGTCCCATAAGCATTCCAGCAGCAGCAATTTCACAAGCCCTATTATCAGCCTGCCTTTATTTTAGCCGGAGCGATGTGACACACTAGAGCAGAGTGCCCTGAGCTTTTACACTGATTGGCAGGTTGCAGAAGGACATGGACAGAGGTTTACAGCCTACACTGAGATCTGTCATTGCGTGATCCCGTGTGACACTTGTCCGATATCAGCATCATGACTCAAACAGGCTATAATCATTGACATCATGTTCACATCTTCCATAGGTACTGGTTTATTCTCAAACAATAAAATCAAAGTCTTTCCATTTAAGAGGAGTGATTGCTGATTTTTATTGGACCACTGAAATAATTGTATAGTAGTTAAGAAGCCCCAAAAGTGATTTTAATGGATGGATATTACACAAGACAAATGTATGCGTTTCCCCAGCTGCCTGCAAGATTTACGGTATTTTCCCCCTCTTTTAATTTCTTAAAGTACCTTGTGATGTAAGCACTTTTCAGCCAGCGGCGCATGCCAAATACACCAGCACATGAAGCTTCCCTCCGAAGCCAAAGCAGGTGCAAAGTATCCAATATACTCAAATGAACTCTATTATGTGTCATTATGTATGCCAACAATTCAGAATCAAACATGACAATCAACAAAGGAGGGAGATACAATTATGTGCAAACAATTATAAAGCACAGCTGCTTCACGCAAATGTCATCTTCCCCATCTGATGTGTTCCAGGCCGTATCATTTACTCCAGCATTTTACCAGAACATCTCATTTGACACTGATGTTTCAGAAACTGTCTCGGCACATGACGTACCTGACTGAGTGTTATGCAATGTGGCATATATTTCTGCTTCAGGGAACACACCTGTCGGTAAAAAAGCATTTTCTCTTAGAGAGAAGGGGCATCACAACTGTCCAAAACACAAACCTAACACACGCCGTGGAGATCTGTTGTTGTGACCTGAGGGTAAGATCAGCTATTCCACTTCAAGCTGCCTTCTCAGAGTGAAGCCACTATCGCAGAAATGAATCTCCCTTGACATCAAAGAAAAATAAAATGAAACCGAATTGTACAAGTCATTTTGGGTAGCACACAAATTGAGGGCATGGTGGTTAATTGGGTGGCTTTATATAAATTGTTTTACTAGCACTTAAAGGTGATTATAATAAGCCTTGAGTCTTGTGTTGTTTTATCAAATTAATCAACTCGAGGGATTATTCAACTTTAATATTTTTAATATATATCTATACAACATTCTGGGTCTCATTGTCAAGGACGAGCCTAAAGTCTTAAATAATCTATATTGTATTTAATGCTAATTTTAGTTATTTGAATATATGCTGGTTTTTAGGTTTGTCAATCCGATACAAAACTGCATTTAGAGCGAGTATCAGGGTAGTGACATATCATTCAGTCAAAGCCTTTTGTTCAAGGTCATGACACAAGGTGTTTATTATAAAACCAATGTAATGCCCACATTTCAGCCTCATTTGTAACCAGTTGTTCTATGCACAACATCATAAGAAATATCCTGATAAATTAAGATTGTCTCCTTTTGTCAAACTTTTGGAGATAGACAGAAAAATGAATATAATATGTGAAATAATTTTTAAATAAAATGGTGAGCAACTATAGTGTTGTCTTAGCAGTAATTATGTTTCAAATGTTTTAAATATAAAAAGATTGTATTTAAAAAAATTATAACCTTCATCTATAAATTCATCATGTCAAATTTTGTCTATGCACTGCAAAATTGTAATTTAAATGGAAAGTTCTGGAACAGTGAACTGTTGCATTTTTTTTAAAGAAAACGTTGTTTAAAACAGTTTTGCTATGTTTAAACACACATACAAATGTACAAAGTGTTTTTGCTGCCTTGAGAGCGTGTTTGGGATTTAAGGCTAAATAAGTTTTCGATAACCAAATCCCAGTAACTAACCGATTAATTTGTTTTAAAGCCAGTTAACAGATGAATAAAAGTCCTGCACATTATTTGCGCATAAAGCGCGTCACAAGTATTCTAATTTGAAAAAATTGAACTACATTCGTAAACAAAGTCAACAAACCAGCACACACAAACAGCATCATGTTTGCTGCTTATATGAAACGCGTTACCTGAGTTTTGAGGGGTTCTCCGTGCTCAATGATGCTTATAAAAGGGATTTCCAAAAAAGAAGACATAAATTCCATTTGTACTATTTCCTCTTGCGTCTGAGGGAAGGCGAGCACAGCCGAGACCCCCTGGACCACAATATCCTGACACACACACCTGAAGAGCGACTCGGGGTCTCCGCTCTGGGCTTCTCGAGCCACCACGTCCAGGCTCAAGTTGTACGGAAGAAAGTTGTTGCCGCTTTCGGCGAGACCGCTGAGGGCGCGGTGGAGAGCCGCCCGCACCCGGACCGACTGGCGGGGAGGCAGGAGCGCACCCAGGCGCACGGTGTGTCCTATCCGCGCTAGGATGTGACAGGGCTGCGGGTGAGAATGAGCGGGCTGGAGTAGAAGGAGAGTATGGAGAAGGAAGATTTGCGATCCCAAATAAAAGTATGCCAGAAATGTGTAGAAGATGAAATTCATCCTGCTTCACTCTCAAAGGTGGTGATGAGGCATTGTCAGAAGATAGCATTGCTCGCCTTGTTGTCAGGTCTTTTCTTTAACGTCCTTTATTATTTTTGAGCAGGATGGTGTATGAGGAGTGATCTATGGAGTTACTGTGTGAATGTGATACTCAGCTCAGGAAAGGAGGGGGTTTCGCGAAAGGCGGAGATGTCGTTGCGTTCACACCCAAAGATGCGCTGGAGAGGCGTAATGGTATCATTAGGAGAACGACGTACTGCTAACTAGACCATAAATACACGAAACCTGTTATTAAAATGTTTTTTTTTTGTTACCCAAAGTAATTGTTTTTATTATAGTTTTTTATATATATATATTTATTTTATTCATAGAATTATGCCTCGCTATATATATATTATATCACTAAAATGTAAAAAAAAAAAAAAAAAGTTTGTCATCACACTTAAGTTTGATGTAACTTTCTTAATAAGTTTGTTCTTATGCAAAAACCACTTGTTAATTTCATGTAGTAAATGTTTGCTTCTCACACAAAACACATAAAAGACTTAAAAATAGCCAAAGGACATAATTTAATGGTGTTTTGTCCTTTTCGGAGTTTGGCACATAATGGGCACTATTTCATCACTGTTTACTTTTGCTGTATGGAAGAGGAAAGATTTTAGAGGCAGGAGATTTTAAAAAAGAGGGTGGATAAATAAATTATTTTTATTATTTCTTCAGTGTCTCCCCCACTATTAAAATGTTTCCAATAATGCCATAGTAGATTGCAAAAAAACATGAATGGATTTTCAAAATTATTGAACATTTTATTGCAGTTGTATCAATAAAACAAGCTGATAGTTTAAATTAACATGAAGGAAAATAATAGAGAAGAGAGAGATAACAGAAGGCAGGTGATGGTAAGTGGGTCACTGTTTGGACCTGAGTATCAGAAATTCGATACGGTCCAGTCATGCGGTAAAATGGAATCTGATGAAGGTGGACTGAAGCCTCAGCCAATCACACACCCTGTTATACGCTATAAAGAACCAGAGAAGCATGGAATGTGAGACTAACACGAAATTTCCCTTAATTACTAATATTAAGAGATAAAAGCTAAACAGAATATAAAAGTCACCTTCATTTTTATGGTTGTTTCGTTTGCTGTGGGTAATAAAAAAGCAGTATAAAATTTTTGGATTCAAAGTACCAACAGCAAAATAAGTATAATAACAATAAAATAAAAAAAGAGTCAGCAAGTCTGCTCAATTGTTATAAACTGGATCCTTTTTATATTTTTGAATATGAAACACTGAAAAAACAATAGCAGGATAAATGAAACAGCTTGTGTACAAAGGTATATTTTGCTCCAACAGCGAGACAAAAAAGTATACTATTAAGATTCTGCCACTTTCAAAAAAGAAGAAAACGTGGCATATAACCGGAAAAATGCTCATTTACTATCACTTCGTCATCTGCTGTATTTGAAATTGTGTGAAGGTATAATCATTATGCATAGGAGTTCATTCTTGTCAGAGCTATGGAATGGCACAATTAGCATATTGGCTTTCTCACAGAACATTGAAATAAGACTGCTGATTCATTCATTTAGTAAATTAAATATAACAAAGCAAGAAAATATATTACACTCATCCCAATAAGTAAATAAATCAATTCATAATTATAGACCTAAAAGGGGTCTGATGCAAAAATGTGATGTATAAATTGTGAATAGGGATGAAATATAGAAGAAATGGTCACACTTTACAATAAGGTTCATTAGTTAATGCATTTACTAACATGAACTAATAATGAACAATACATGTACAGCATTTATATTTTACTAAAGCATTATTAACATCCAAATTCTTACTTGCTTAACATTAGTTAATGCACTGAGTAAACAAACTTACAATGAACAATTTTATTTTCATTAACTAACGTCAACTAACATGAACAAATACTGTAGTAAATGTATTGTTTATAGTTTGTTCATAATAGTAAATGCATTTCTGCAGTAAAGTGTTACCAAAGAAATTCTAATATGAGTAAAGCTGTGGTTACATTGGACTTGTCTCCCCATAAATTTCCATTCATATGCATGCAAATGTGTCAGATCATAAACGCAAGGTCATGCGTCAAGTTTCGCAGGCTGCTTGGTGAACTCTGACCTTCGAATTCGCATCACTTGACTGCATGAGACCAATCGATGACATGACCTCTCTGGACAAAAATTTTTCCCTTTTCGCAGCGCAGTAGGACAGAATTTCACACACACAAACTCTAGTGTGACCGCAGCTTAAGACCAGTTAAGATTACTGATAAGTTACTGATTTATTTTTTTATTTAAATTTTTTTGCATGTTTGTCACACTTTAATGTTTCAGATCATCAAACAAATGTAAACAGTAGTCAAAAATAACACAAGTAAACACATCATGCAGTTTAAAAATTATGGTTTGTATTATTAATGGAAACAAAATACAACACTACTTAGCCTTGTGTGAAAAAGTGTTTGGAACTCTTGTTAAAGCATCATTTACCTCTGGTTTATTACACCTAAGTTCAATTTCTCACCATACCCAGACCTGATAGCTGCAACACCTGCCTGCAATCAAGAAATCAATTAAATAAGACTTGCGTGACAAAGGGTTATAAAGCCATTTCTTAATCTTTGAGACTGCAGCAATCCATATTGAGAGCCGTTATCTACAAATTTTGTTTACACAATTTACTTAAACCGCATGTCTTTAAACTGTGGAGGAAACCGGAGCACCTGGAGGAAACCCACATGAACATGGAGAGAAAATGCTAAATCTACACAGAAGTGCCTCCTGGCCCAGGCAGTACTCACACCAGTGATCTTCTTGCTGTGAGACGACAGTGCTAACCACTGAGCCACTGTGATGCCTAAAATCTCTGTGTTATGTGACATTCCTGATTTTTTTTTTTTTTAAATATTCTTGAAGAAAATTGTTTCTGGGATTGATTCAAAAAGGAAGATAAATCAAGCAAACCAGCTGTCAAAGTTGTAGTTTAGTTTAATTCAGATCAATTCAGTGTGATGTAAATGTCATTGCTAAAAGCCCAAACATCCCCCACCCCCACTCAGAAAGCAGTTCCGATTTGATCTAGGAATTATGAATTGTCCAGAATTAATTGAGTATAGTGAACATGAGGAGATGTAATGCATCAGGAGCTCACTCAAATACTGGGGAGATAGGCCATTCTGGGCTGTGTAGGTTAATTGTATTACACATCTTTATGATAAGTAATCGTAGCCAATGCAATGCTGAAAGAACTGGAGTAATATGATCATATTTCTTAGTTCTAGAAAGCACTTTAGCAGCTTTAAACCGATTGAAGTTTGTAAATTAGGTGTACAGGGCAACTAGACATACATTTCAAATGTCTAACCAAGAGGTCATGAAAGCATAAATAAGCATTTCTACAAAAGACATTGAAAGCATATGTCAACGTTTGACATTATTTTTTAAGATGACAAAAAGCAAAATGTTTGAAATGTGCAGCTGAATCATCACCCCTTTGGGGTATTTGCTCGAGGCCTCCTTGAAGCAGTCCAGGAGTTTGGGTTCAGTGAAACCACCCTTATCTTAGCTGAGCTCCTTTCCCTGCCCGTAATGCCCAGACTCCTTTTCCCTGCCTGCAATGCCCAGACTCTTTGCCATGCTGGCCCAAGTCTGGCTCCTTGCCTGTCCTGTAATGCCCAAACTCCTTGCCCTGCCAGCCCAAGCCTGGCTTCTTACCCTGCCAGTGCCCCAAAAGCCTCCAGCCTTGCCTCCTCTGTCTGATCCTCCCTGGGTCACCCCTCCTGTTTCTTCCTGGTCTGTCCCTGTTCCTCCCTGAACTGTCCCTCCTGCTCCAGCCTAGCCCCCTGCTAGGGTCCCTGACCCGCTGAGTCCTCGCTGGTCTCTCTTTACAGTGGCATTCTGTTCTGCCCATCCTGCTCCTCTCTGGTCTGTCACTCTGGCTAAACCCTGGCCTCCTGCCAAAGTTCCTGACCCATTGACCTCATCCTAGGCTGTCCCTCCAACTCATCCCTTGTTCCCCACCTGGACTCATGTTCCTGTAGCCCTGTCTTTTCTGTCAACCAAGATCCCTGAACCTCCTGTCCATCCTTAGCTTTGCCCTCCCTTCCCTCCCTTGTTTGTCTTGGCTCCTTTCCCTCTCTCCCTCCTTTCCTAGTTTCTTGTCTATTTACTTCTCTGTCTTGTGTTGTTTGTTGATGTTGCCCGTTTTGTCTTGCTATGTTTCTATGTTTCTTAATCCTTAAACAAATACCATAACCTTTCCTCCCTACTCAGGGTTTAGGGTCTTTTAGGGTGGGACTATCAGTGTGGATCTCATATATGCAGTGCTTTTATCCATTTATCAAGACATGGGTAAAAAGGAAAAACTTAACTTCCATTTCATATTGACTTTAAAGGTGCAGAACCGTATTTCGGAATGATATATGTATTGTATTGCAGTAAAAATTAAAAAATTGGAGAGGGTTTTTTTCACAGGCTCCTCCAATGACGATTCAATAAAGTTGCTTGTAAACTGCCCAGATAAGTTGTATGTTAACTGCTCCGATAAAGTTTGCATTTGTAATATTTATATTCATTCATTCATTCATTCATTTTCTTGTTGGCTTAGTCCCTTTATTAATCAGGGGTCGCCACAGCGGAATGAACCACCAACTTATCCAGCAAGTTTTTTATGCAGCGGATGCCCTTCCAGCCGCAACCCATCTCTGAGAAACATCCACACACAGATTCACACACACACTACAGACAATTTAGCCTACCCAATTCACCTGTACCACATGTCTTTGGACTGTGGGGGAAACCGGAGCACCTGGAGGAAACCCACGTAAAGGCAGGGAGAACATGCAAACTCCACACAAAAACGCTAACTGAGCCGAGGTGCGACCCAGCGACCTTCTTGCTGTGAGGCGACAGCTCTACCTACTGCGCCACTGCCTCACCTAATATTTATATTGTATGTAAATGAAAAAATAATTAATTGTCACTTTTTCAAAAGTTTGAATCTGTGTCTCATTTTACAAGCTGCTGCTGTCCTCTGGAAGTCCAGCCCAATCTCATGAGGTAACATAATGTGTTTTACATATTGTAAGAAACGTGGCCAATTTGTACAAATTTCATTCATATAAAAATTTTACATTTTTAAAAGGAGGCATGCCCCCAAACCCCAAACCTAAACCTGTCCCTTATTAGGAACTGAGCAAATCA